CTATGTAAAAGTTAAACAAACAAGCCGTGAGTAGCCGAACAGATCATTTGAAGAATCAAATCGCCACTTATCAATACATAGTATAAAACAAAGTCGCTTTCGCTGTATGTCCGTATGTATGCTTAGATCTTTAAAACTACGCAACGGATTTTGATGCGGTTTTTTTTAATAGATAGAGTGATTCTTAAGGAAGGTTTGTATGTATAATAAATGCATAATATAGTAGAGAAACACTGATAAATTTAAAGGTTTCTAATGTGATGTCGTAAATAAGCACGTTTTTTTGCGCTTATATTGCAAACGCTGGCTGAACCCTACGAGATAGACCAAAATAATATACTACAGTATTGTTCACCTTAAAAAGTTCAACAAAAAAGTCCGCGATGGTATATGTCTATCTCTTAGGGATAACCCAGCATAACCATTTTTATTCTTTACTAAAAAATGGTTATTTACGAAGTGATTTTAAACAATACAGCATTAATCCTTATCCAATTAAGTACCTTAAATAAATTGTGCATTTATTATAGATCAATATGCTTTTTAAAGCATGTAATTTAAGTGAATATTACCGAAGATATTACTAATTTAAAATGCAGGGTCGTAGTTAAACGTTGCAGGATTAGACTTGAGTATTGAGTGTTTTTCACATGGCCAATTATATGTCGCGCTGTCAAGAGTAACGTCTAAGCAAAACATGTTTGTATTGGCTAATGACAAAAAAGCTGTGAACGTTGTGTTTAAGGACATTCTGTAGTAGGTATATTTTTCATTGCACCCGTGCGAAGCCGGGTTCGGGTCGCTAGTCTATAATAAACTTGTGTTGATCTCACGAGTGAAAGTTTTAAAAGTTTTTAATCGCAGAATTGGGGAAGAATAAAATATTGTCAACAAGTTAGTAAAAGATAATAAATAGTAAATTGCAAATCTTCGGCTAGAGGAAACATATCGGAACGATATTATAGGTAATACAAATATCTAGGCAACGCGAGTTTTGTATGCTGACATAAGTCGCAAAACTATTTTTATTTGATGTTCGAGCTACGAAATGTTCGCCCTAGAAAATCTGAACTGAAATTCTTAAAGGATCTGAACATTTATTCGATATCTCTTCCTTTCCGTTGCATTTTTAATTCAAATACTTATATGGTATTCTGCATTGATATTGTAAAGATTGAAAACATTTTTAATATCAACTTTGAGCAAATATTTCAGATAAAAGTATTCTTGCCCAATATTGAATTATGAGAAGCTGCACTGTTGCGCATGGATGCTATTGGGAAAATTCAAAATATTTTGTAATCTTTGCATCAAAAATGTTCAGCAGAGGAGGAGATCCCTGGTAAAAAGGTTAATAAGCAGAGATTGGTTAACATTGAGCTGTTGTTTATTGGTAACACATTTGCTAAAAGGGACAGAGTGGGATGGCAATTCGGACTTTTCTCTAACTAGTTAATGTAGCACATACATACGCATCACGCGTAGTTTTCTAATTTTTATAATAACTATCGTGAGACATACTGAATCAACTAAAAATCGCGGGTTACTCATATTAATTTACTGAGAAAATCTCTACTAGTTTCGAACCAGTTAATTTTGGTAATAATAACTAACTAGATAAAGTGTTTTAAATACTGAGTCCATACTTCATATTTTTATTATTTCTACAATTTCAAAACTTGCGTAGTTTTAAACTTAGCATACAAAGGGACAGAGAGCGGAAAGTATAATATTTGTTTTGCTCAAGGAGTCCTGAAACACCACAGGCGTTACAAGTGCGTTGACGGCCTTTTTAATGGTTAGGAATTTGAGAATTGTTGGGCATTCGGAAGATTGGGGAGCGGGGTAATTGGGTACAGTAACCCAATTCAAACGTTGTTTCACGTCGGTTTTCTGTGAGGCCGTGGTAGCTGTCGTGCCCGCCCATTCGTGCAAAAGCATGGCTCTCTCACACTTAGTTTCTTTTATTAGTCAACTATCTAATTTGCTACGGAAGTACGGTACGATAAATGAATGCAAAACTTGTGCTAAACTGCTAAGCAATGATACAGGTACTATTATTATCTTTATAAACATGTAAGTATAAACTGCGTAGTCAAACACGATTATAATATATCTGGCCCTTTTTTCAAAGTGTGCAGGATAACCTGAATGAGGATACCTGTTATGTAACTAACCTGTGCCGCTCTGCAGTGGTCGTATAGCAAATATATACAACAACGATAATGTTGAATAAATCAATTGTAAATGTAATAATTGACAGGGTTCTTGAAGCTAGTGGTGCGGCGCAACGTGGCGCGACCTCTTAACGACCACCCCGGTCCCGGTTGTCATTGCGGGTAATCAGAAGTAGGTAGGTACGAAATTTGTACGTGGTAAAGTCAGATACTCTAAAAATTGTGATCATTTTTACTACTGTTTCCAGGTTAGTTTGAGTAAAGGGTATATTATCTACCTATGTAAATTAAAAATAACACCCACTTTTCGATAGTTATTTTGTTTTGTTTGTCATAGAAGGTGAATCTATTGGCAGCCAGCATAGTATGCTTATTTCTTTATTCGTTCTCCTATTACCGAAAATTTCGAATTGGAGTACGCTAATTAAACGAGTCGGAAGTGGTAACACACTCAAAGACTTGAAAATCTTCTCACAACCGTTTTCACAACTGTCATTGAGGGGAGTCTCTCCAAGTTGTTTCCATCTTTCCTTGCAATGTGACAAAAATTTTCAACTTGGAAAGACTCATCGTGATAGGAAAACTGAATTGGAAAACTTCGTGGTCGCGGCTAACACGTTCATATCAGATCCTCACGCTTTGGACTCCACTATTTACGACGGCCTCCACACCCTCATTTATAGAATTAGGTAGACGGAAAAATATCGTGCGAGAGAGAAAATGATCTACAGAGCAGAAGATTTTGCTTGTTCGTTTGGACGCACTAATCTACGGAACTACTGGTTCTGGTGGTGGTTAGCATTGAATACTTTTGCGTGTGATACAGTCAATTTATCGAGGAAAGCTATAAAAGATTACGCTATGATCGAGAGGCGCCAAGCGCGAGGAAGCAGCTAGTGAGGAATATAGCGGGAGTTTCTAGATAACTACGGGAACTTAACTGAAGATAAAGTCACGCTTTATATTTACGCAAGCAGGGGTAATCCAAGTTAATACAATTTCGTTTAGAAATATACCTTTTTTGTGAATTTGGATTTACATTTCATAATACTAATTAATAATTAGACATGATAGGACCAATTAGTTTGGTATCAAATGGAGAATTCCTATTGGAATGAAACAAAGTTTACAAAATACGCAGTAACATATTATAGCTGTTTTGACGCTCACGCTATCCTAAATCCCTGGAGAATGATCTTGCATAGCATTAGGTAGGTAACCAATTGTTTTTATTAAAGGTTACATCGACTACCGAGTGCAGTTAGTGTATAAAACAATGCTACGAAATTATGGTAACTGATAGCAATCACCTTCACACTGGCATAATTGCTAAGTAAGCACAGATATTTTCTTACAAATGAATAAATCAAATCACTCTTTTTGTATATTGTACAATTTTTAAACAAAAAAAAACAATTTTTTTCACGTAAACACTATCTTGCGTAGGTAGATAGGTTGTTAGTACCCAATCTGTTATAAACAAACATTGAAATGTTGTCATCTCGATTTGTTCATTAAAGACCTTTTAGAACGGTAATAGGTTAAAGACAATACGTAAACAACAATTTGAACAGACAAACGTAAGACCTTAGTGACCTAAATTTGATGAGGTTACTTTTATATTGGTGTACATTCCTTGAAAGAACTTATCCTCACCAGTTTATACTGTAGTCAAACAAAAACATGCTAACAAACTAATGAAATACTAATAACATCTCTTTTTTTATTAGGAATTAACACGAAAGCACTCAATAATTAACGCAAAAACAAACTAAACAGCACAAATTTAACAAATAAGAAAATCTAAATTTGTAAATCGTTTAAAGCTACATGCAGCCCAGCATATCAATCATCGAGCATAAAGTAGAATGTATTCGTGTACAAGGAGGGCCCTTCATAGCCCTAAACGCAAGTTATTTATGTTAGCGCGAGAGTTGAATGAAACAAAGGCCTCAAGTATTAGCATTCTAACAGAAAAGCTCCAAGTTTTAAATATCATAATGAAGTAAAGTTCACAAATATTGTATAAACATCATGCAACGCACCTTCAAGTGCCAGGTACATAGGTGGAACCCGGTGACATGGGGAGTAAATTAACATAACTTCGTCCTTACACTGTTTAAAACACTGGCCATAACTTGTTCAAGTTAGCACAGAAAGCTCATTCACGACTGAAAACGTTCGACAGACATCATTCTATATTCACGTTTAGTTATAATACTATGGATAGAAATTTTACACAACGAAACAAAATAATATAACACCTTCAATTAATCGACCATAGCATAAAGCCCTTTGAAGTACGTTTGTAAAGACCGATGAGAGCGTAGTCTATGCCGATTGCCGAAATTTCAGGCGAATGAACATCGAACCAAAATAAATCAACCATAGAGTAAATGAACGAACAGAGACAAAAATAATGAATGAAAAGACGTTTCATCCGAGCGGAAATAAACAAGCATAAACAACACTGTATGTTCTATTTTATTCGTTGCATATCTGAAATAATAATTCTTAGCAAAATAAGTTACATTTCGAGTTTTCTAAATTTTTAAGAGAACGATAAAAATAGTATAGTTGTTGTCCATAGAGTAAATAGTTACTCAGTAAAAGTTACATTGGCTGAGAAAATATTTTCATTGAATGTTTTTGTTTTTCTAAATATATGCGTTTATTGTTTATTATCGAATGAAATTAAAATAATACACCAATATTAGTATATAAAAATAATTTATACCATATTCTAACAAAATTCTACCAAACGTCAAAAGTGTCAAACACGATTAAGTAGAATATTTTATCTGAATCTGGCAACATTACATTGGTTTGGTATCTATTCGCTATCTGCCATTCTGCCTGTCCGAGTGCCTGCCCGCTTAGAGTGTTAGTTCTCTTTCGTCTCGGTATCTGTTCTTATAAAATTTAATTTGTAATAATGGCAAATATAGCAGCGAAACGCATAAAACGAGAATTCAAGGAGGTCATGAAAAGTGAAGAGGTGAGCTTAAGCCATTTTTATGGTGTTTACATAAAAACATATGTATGGCCGCAGTTACTTGCAGTTTTGTTAGATGTCATATTTTTATGAGAACATCGATCTATGCGAGTACAAAGTGCGCTCGAAAGTAAAGCGATTCATCCCAATTTAAATTTGCAATGATGTTGTGATTGGATGTGTTTGTTTCGTTTTGCGATGTGAATGATTCAGCACGTTTTTTTTATGTCGTAGTGATGTTTTATCGTTCCTTTATCAATCTGTTGTTGGCATATTTTTATTTAGTTTTCTTAAAAACTGCATGATAATTTACGCAATTTGTATATTCCTTCATCTGCTTGTTGAATCATTATTATAACATGTAATTATTTTACTTTGCTTTGCTGTATTTGCATCCTACCCATTTAATTCTAATCTCATAATGATTGTGGCCTACATTTTATATCATGTGTATGCTTTAGCGATATTATTAGGCAAAATCTATTCCTATTAGAATATAATTAGCATTTCTCATATACCCTCCAATATCTTAACAATTTGGATTAATCAAAATAAATCTATTACCTATACCTTTAATTTATTATGTGATGAATTGGATTATTAATTTATGGACATCAATATATACACAAAAACAAAATACTACAATTTCTTAAGACAAGGTATTAGTAAACAAATACTCAGGTATTGTAATATAAGTAATAAAAAATTACACTTTATATTGCCTTAAACTGTCAAACACCGTGCGGTCACCGGTGACCACAACCTATTGTTCTTTAATTGTGTCTATAATGACGGTACTCAACGAGTTAATCCTAACTAATTTAGAACATGTGACATGCCTAGAGCTTAGTACTAGTGCCGTCGGTAAATTATAATGTAAAGGTTTATAAAGAAAATACTTAACTTTTGACTGCCACATCAAAAAACCAACATGTGCCATCAGAATCAAATTAAGTTATTCAGCCTTAAATACTTTTTATAATTGGAATAATAAACATTTGCCATCCTATGTAAATATAAGGAAAACAACATTAATTAACTCATCGAGTACCGTCATTATAGACACAATTATAGAACAATAGGTTGCGGTCACCGGTGACCGCTTGGTGTTTGACAGTTTAATAAAAATGAGAAGTAGTCCTCTCACTTCTTCTCTTCTTCACTTCTTCACTCTCACTCTTTTCTAATAAGAAGAGATAATAAAGCTTTATTTATGTTTAAAAATTTGTCATGTGAATGGCATGCTGAGAAATTTTTGGCTTGTTATGTATACATAAATATAGTATATACTACAATACTCTAAAAGTTGATTCTCAACAAGACTACTTTCAATTCTAGATCAAGTGTATATAGTTCAAGACAAAAACTTTAGACAAAATAGATAGAATTTTAATAAAAATAGCTCTAGGTAGATGTTTCTATATCCAAAATTCCACATACATATGAAACACCCACATGTTGAATTGTATGTGGGTGTATCTCTGGAATAATGGGGATAATTTTACCTAGCAACCACAGGGATTTCACCTTGAGGTTAATTAGTAAATTGATACTTATTATGATTTCTGAAAATATCTTTCTCAACAACATTTATTTTGTTTTATATCACATAGTCGTGTGGGTAGCTAAATTGTTTTGTGGAACATATTCAGGTACCCCGTAATATATATATATATCAGTTTTGATGACTTACAAAAAAAATAGTAAAAAAAAGTATGATCCTCATCTTAAAATCTCACCTATATTTAGCAAATATCTTTATAGAGCTGTAAACACATCTGAAGTCATAATGATTATATATTTTCTTTGTATATTCACATTCACATAATGACGTATTAAATATGCAAAGTCAGGTTTTTTGGCACTGAACATACGACTTGTATTTGTCTTCTTTGTTTGTAACCTGTTTGTAAACATGTTTAGGTCATGTGATTGATACTAGCACTCCTAGCAGAGATGGTGCTTTTAACAATTTTAGGTTGACTGTGTTTTAATTAAATGCCTAATTATCGACACTGTTGATTTATCTGTAGGAAAGGAAGAACATTTGTCATAAAACAATAAATTGACAGTATATAACCTAACCTTGATCATTTGTTAAAGCAAATGGATACTTAATAGCTCTTTATTGGCTGTGCATCTCAATTTATTGACTTGATTGAGATTGTTTGTCCTGACCATTGTAACATAACATGTGTTGGTCAATTCTGCATGTAGTTGAACTCTGTTGAACATGCACATTTCGTTCGTCGACATAAGTGCCAATATATTATCTAGGTTGCATAGCGTAAGCAATATGTCTTCTAATATTTACATGGAAGCAATGCAGAGTCTAGATGTGTATCTAATAAGCCTTTTCTAATATAAAGAAGTAATTTTCATCACTGGATAAATGCGAATTTGCGACTTGAGCAGGTGTTTGGTGAAATGAACATAGAATAGCAAGTAAACTATTTTAGGTTCATTGTAAAATATAGTATTTCTGATGATAGCGCCCCACTCCCTTTTTAATGGATTTGTTTAAGAAATGACCGATTTTCCGCTATTTTTAATTCGCTAAATACACTAGTCATGTTGATATGAACAATACTGCATCTAAAATGCATGTTTACTGCATGCATTTTTGCATATATTATTACTATTGTTTATAATTATAAATTTATTCGTTACTTTTTTACATAAGCACCAGCCTAACCACCAGCTAAAGCCGACTCCGCATTTAGACGAATCCTATATTTGTACAACGTTTACATAGGTACTGTCTGGAAAATTATGAAGTTGGGAAACAACACGAAACCATATGACTGAATAACATTTTCTTTTCAAATAAATTGTGTTCTCAACTTGTTTTCATTTTAGAGTGCGTTTGTTGTTCGAAATGAAATTGAAAAAGAGTCGCTAGTAGTTGTTGGGTTTCAAGCCAGTTCTTCTTTCTTAATAAATATGTAGAGGCAGCAGATAAAAAAGAATTCAAAGTAATAGTGGGAAAATTGATTGTTTTTTTTTTAATATGCATGTTTTAATTATGAGAAAAAATGGAAAGGACCGCATGGTGTGAGAAGTTGAGGTCGGCCGGGCGCCCGGTGGCAGGATAAGATTGTATCAGATATTAGATGATCACTCATTTACATTACACGGTCGATTTGAGTCACCAGCTGCATGCAGCCGATCACTAGTAGTAAAGTTGAGTGTTCTTCCAAAGTAGCACGCTATCCAGCATTAAAGTTTTAATCACTTGCTACCTAGGAACTATCAACGTATAAATATGAACTACAACCCGACCGGAATTTCCACTATTTTTCTTTCAGTTCTTATTACAGAAAACATTAAATTATAATAATCCACAATTTTCATGTACCGTTACAATTACAACCAGGTGCTATTGGTACCAGTATATTCTGGTACTTTACAACATAACATCCAGTTTGAATGTAGTTATCTTTTGTTTCAGGTAGCAGGCGGTAGCATTAAATTGGAGTTGATTAACGACAGCTGGACAGAGCTCCAAGGCGAGATAGCTGGTCCTCCGGACACACCGTACGAAGGTGGCACGTTCTTACTTGAGATCAAGGTGCCGGAGACATACCCATTCAATCCGCCAAAGGTAAGACAAAGCATTGAACAAACTTAATTTTTTTCGGATTGCGTTCACACATGAGCATTGCCGTAGTTTCTCTCACCCGCTGACAGGTTTTCTTTAATGGAATTGGGTATCACTACTTAATACTTACCTATATGACTTGCGTTCGCAATCTACGTACCTATATAGCGTTAACAAGCGAAATATTTTATATCAGTATTAATGTGACGGTAAGATGGGGTATAAAATATATCCACCCTCTGGATTGTTAGCAAATTTTTGGAACCTCACAACGGCTCGCGAATTTGTTTGTCTAACCCTATTGTTTTAATGGTTGCGTTATGGAGAACGGTATCTAGATAAGTTTGCGTCATCACTGATTGTAAGTCATTATATTTCCAGATTCGCTTTATGACAAAGATCTGGCACCCTAACGTGTCGTCGGTAACTGGCGCTATATGCTTAGACATACTCAAAGATCAATGGGCGGCTGCCCTCACGCTGCGCACAGTGCTGCTCTCGATCCAGGCACTTCTGTCAGCCGCAGAGCCGAACGACCCGCAAGATGCTGTCGTGGCTAAGCAATACCGTGAAGATATACGGCTTTTTAATCTGACTGCTAGTCACTGGACCAATGTCTATGCTGGAGGGCCTACCGTCATCTGGGAATTCAATCAGAAGGTTCAAGTATTAATAGATATGGGCATCGACGAAGATCAAGCTAGGGTAGCACTTTCTACATTTGAATGGGAAATTGAGAGGGCCACAGAACATCTCTTTAGTTAAGTATTTTCTAGTTGACAACCAGTGGAGCCAACAATGCTGGCTATAATGTAATTTGATTAAAACACAGAGTTACAATTACTGTTATTCTCCAATGAATTTCCTGTGCTAACTCAAATAATTATGTAATCAATAAACTACCTGGACATAATTCCGTGTAATCAAATATTAGGATGATAATTTGTGTCGTTACTATCATTGTTGATCTTGATGTTGTCAGTGGTCACTACATGTGAAATAATTCTATTAACATTATTACGTTTTCATATTATATGGAACTGTTTAAATAGACTATGCTGAGAAAATGGCATTAGCATATAGGATATTTTCATCAATTTCTACTTCACGTTAGTTTAGGGATTTCTTTATTTACCACGAATGCTTCACAATGATGCAAGGAGTTTCATAAGTCTGACTGATGCAAATCTTTAATATCTTGACAGAACAATTTCGCATGATGACTAGTGGGTATGGTACGTGTTTTCATCCTGAGCTTATTGTTCAAAACTTTGATATATATTTTATTAACAAATCGAATTCTATTTACTATCAATAAACAATATTTAAAAAATAAACCAGATGTTATCAGGCTACTCTGAAAAGATACAAAATCAAAGGTCAGTCTAACTAATGAGCCATTGGTTCTGTTTTTTTATTATATCAAAATAGTGTATGTGAGATTGAAGAACTTTAAGTTATATATTTTGTATTTTCATATACCTAGTTATCATTTGTATGAAATTTAGACTTGATCATGAATGATAGTTTTATTTTGTCTCGGTGTTTGTTTGATTGCAGAATCAAAATGGCAGCATTCTGACCTTTTCTCGAGAATATTAATTAATGTAATAGTATCATAGTTTAGGTCCTAGATAATAAAGATTCAATTTGTTATTAATGTGGATTCATGTAATGATTGTATTTACTCCATTACATTTTAATAGATGAAGTTATAGAGTGAACGTTAAAACCCTGGGAATATTAGATGTTGTGTATTATATGTATAATTTATTATATATATCTCTAAAAGTATTGAACTTGTTGTTGCAAATAAAACAAAATTTGATGCTATCCATTTAACAACGAATTTTTGTTGCATATTATAATAATGAGTACTTCAATATCCCTGTGTGTGTATATTTGTTTTTACTATTACTTTAAACCGTCGTTAAAATGGGGGAGGTTCTTTTCATAAATTATTAAGGTACTTTACAATATATTACATGGTGTATCAAAACAGTATACATTCCTTTCAAAATAATTGGAATGCCGTCCTCATAATTATAAATTTGAATTATAAATATAATAATTTGACGATGTTTACAAGTGAAATGTTAGTTGACGGATATTTATTTTGAATGAAAATAAAATTGACGTACCTTACGTTTCATAGGCATAAAGTACGTTATGCCAGGATGACTAGTAATGTTATGTTATACAATACCATTCAGAAAATTTAGGTAACTACTCCACAGAAATAATATTAATAATTACTTTTTTTCCATTTATTTACCTAGTAATCTGGCAATGATGACTAAAGAAAAGAAAAAAAATTTGATCATTTATTGGATAGTTTGATGATATAAGACAAAATGACAAGATTTTGATAAATTGAAAATTGATTTTGTTATTTGGTACTATCGACAAATTTATATTATGACCCACTTTCAAAGTCAAAGTTATTTTCTTACTTATTCATTATTAATTCAAAATTCCCGTATAAAGCATAACATTTTTATAGTAGTGTCTTGATATGTCATTTAATTACCCTGAAAATCACTTGTTACAAACCTCCCATTTTTATTTAAGACTTTGACTGCCAATAAAAAACTGTAGAAGGTAAATCCTCCGCTACCGCCGGTCACCGGTTAATCCTATGGCGTTTAACGTGTTAAACTCAAACACGAGGACGGTAAATGACGTAAACAAAATATATATAAAAAATAATAATATTTTGTTCTCATTTTTTTGATATTAATAAAAATACGTAAGCCTAAATGTTTGTTTCCCAACAAAAGATACACCTACATGCTGTAATATAATCCCCTAGACATAATATACCTAAATCATACAAATATAATTATTGGGAAACTATATAAGAGTAACAATAACACAAAACAAAATTCAGACAAGACAACACATTTAAAAAAAATAGGTATTTTCAATCGGAAATTTTAAATTAGATTGTTTTTATTTTAAAATTTAAAAAGTGGCTCAATATTCGAATTTGTCGATAGTACACAATTGTACGTAGAAGTAAGATCCTATCGTCATGGGCTATAAAAAAAGTGTCCAATTTTTTTACCTTTATATAGAAAGTTTTAGTCATCACACTTATTACCGCATTGCGGTTGAATCCACAAGACACCAACGGCTACATATGTACAGTCAGCGATAAATTTTTATGGACAATTGGTGCCACTTAAATAAATAGATGCAACGAAAAAGTTACTATATGGTCCAAAATTTCTATAGGGTAAACCGTATAGCTATTGCCCACTTAACGACTTCATGCAGGTTAACTTAAAAAAAAAAAACCGTATTAGAGCTGGCAAATTTTTATTACAATTTTCTTATAAACTACAAAATTCTGTAACAGATAATCGAAATTATTTAGTTAAAAAGTTAACATATCTTAGAAATAATATGAAGAAAAAAAAATTATCAAAAAATACAGTCATTGCCCACGCAATATAGTAATTACCATCATAAGAGCACAGTAATTGCCCATGATCTCAAAATGCTAGATTAAGGCCGAAATTGACTTTAAACATAAATAATTATTCGAAACAAAAAAAATTAAACTTAATTTTATAAAAAAACACAGTTTAAAGAAACAAAACTATAAATTTTTAACAAAACTCTTAACTTTCTTAGGATAATCAGTCTCAAAATAGATTACGCTTAGCTTTATTAATCACACCAAATAATTCTCTTGCTGACAATGATGAGTCAGAATCACCTGAGTCAGAATCTTTTACAATAAAACAACGATGTCACAAAAATAACCTTAAGTCGGCGTCGTCGGGGATATGTTCTTTATGTTTTTGAGGAATACAACGCATGTGATAGGTTTTTGAACAAGCACTGCAGGTCAACGGATTTTTCATTATGCTGAAATGACAAACTACACAAATAGTAGGCTTGATTATAATGTCGCTTAAAATAGTTATCTTTCCACCTGTTGCTACCTGTTTATTTTCCTTATGGCTTATATTTAATTCTTTCGTCTTTGGTGTACATTGGAGATGGTTCTTAAAAGTTTCAGTCTCGTTGTCGTTATTTCCCTTGATTGTATCAATTTCCTCTGAATCAACTTCACTATTGATATTTACTGCAGAATTTTCATTGTTAGGTTTCTTGGTTATTTTTATGGTGTTCTTACTTTTTTCAGCTTTTTTCTTGTCTCTAATCAACTTCTTTTCTTCCTTGATTTTTAATAAATTTTGCTTTTCTACTACTTTTACATGTAAAGCTTCTTTAAAATTTTGAGAACTTATATCGTATGGTTGTCTTTCTGTTTGTCTTTTTCCTTTCCTTATGGGCGTTTCCGGGTAAGCTAGATACTCTCCCAGTGAATATTTTCTTTTTATAATTTTAGGACTTGGTAACTGAGGCGTAGAGTTTGCCGCCGCTACTGCAAATGAAGTACTTGCTCGTGGCTCTTCAGAAGATATTTCTGGGGTATATTGTTTTTGTAGAGTTGTCGAAGCTGTTGTAGGTTTATATTTGGTATACTCAGGCACTGAGGAGAAAAGATCACACGTTGAAAGACTCTCTATTCCCTCAGATGTTTCTTCTGTAAGTGAGTGTAAATCGACAATGTTTTCAATTGAATCTTCATTGTTTTCTTGTGTGATAACTGAGCAATCTACTACTTCGTTAGTATTAGATTCAATTTCAGCATGCTTAAATGATTCCCATAACTTAAATAACATATCCAAGTGTTCAGTAACTTTTTGATGCGGCAGTTTGTGACGTCTATTTTCGAAATCCTTAACAATAGATGGTCCAACGATCTTTGAAAAAGTAGAATAGGTTATCGTTGCTAAATCTGGAATAGGTTTTGTATTTTGTACAGACAACTTATTGCTTGCAGCACCAAGGCATTTTCCATAGTCAATGGCATCCGGATTAAATGGACATAGACCACACGCTTTAAAGCCATTAACTAATATTTCAGGTCTTAGACTCGTCATAACGGCATCATTAAGTACAGGTGCAAAATTTAATTTTGTGAGACTTTGATTATTGTGTTCATTTTGCCATTTCCTTAAAGATTTTCTCCATCCTACTTTGAGAGGTCTAAAAGCAGCTACATCGGCTGGCTGAAGGATTCTTGTTGCGTTTGGGTAGAGTGCAATTAATTCGATCTGAAGATGAGTACAAAGCTGGCTTAAATGGAAATTTAAATGAGTCTTATGACCGTCTACATAGAGAATGACTGGGAATTCGACGTTTTTGCTGACGAGATATGGATAAAATACATTAGCAATGTATTCATAGAAAACTTCCGTTGTCATCCATCCTGTGTCAGACTTGCCAAGCCCCCATCCATCAGGTACAGAATCAGCAATTTTTTCAGGTAACCTTTGATAAGGATAAACAATGAATGGACAACAGATATCCCCTGCAGCCGAAAAAGTGAACAAAACTGTAATAGACTCTTTAGCTTGAGATTGTTCAACATTATAGACATTTTTTGAACCTTTTTCTGCTAATACTTGACCAGTTTTAACGCAAATTTGAAAATTTGTCTCATCTGCATTAAATACTCGATGTGGGTCATTTAAAACAGAAGCCAAGTCTTTTTCAGTAGCATAATTTTGGATTTCAGTAAACCACCCTCTTATATCTTTTTCCGAAACACATGCACTGGCCTTTGTCACACCTTCTGAAGTTCTGGTTGCCAATCTAGGATGTCGTTTTAAAAAGGCCTTCCACCAACCGTCACCTGGCCTATTATTCAAAAATGTGTTTGGACGCGGGTTTTCTATTAGAAACTTTTGGACGGTATCTAATATGTCCTCTTTGTTACGCGGAAATCCCTTTCTTGCTGAAATGATTATCCAGTCTTCTAAACTATTTTCTTCTGAAATAGTTAGTACAGGTGATGGCCCTAAGCTGGTTTTGTGGCCCGGATGTTTAATATAGTACCGAAGACTGGACCTCGGAACGCCGTATTTTTCGGCGATTTGCCTCGTAGATAGCTTATTGTTAACATCTTGAACTGTATCAATTGCTTTTTGTAAATTTTCTTTACTATACTGAATTTTGGGTGTCTTTGGCATTCTGAAAGTAATGAAATATAATTAGCACCTGTTTATGTAAAGAAATTGCGAAATGTAACACTATTCATGTCATATTGGCAATACTACTTAACTCAAAATATAAGTATGACATTAATTGCCCGGGCAATAACTATAAATATTAACCTATGGCAATTACTAAAAAAATGATGGGCAATAACTGAAAACAATAAAAAATCGATACAGTGATTGCCCACCTCTAAAATAACCGTTAGAATTCAATATTCAAATTAGATTTACATTCAATACTAAAGTTAATCACAATTTTATCGTAATTATGTAAGAACAGTCGAATAGGTACCATTTAAATGTCCTAAAAAATGTTTTTTAGCAAGTAATTCCTTAAGAAAATTGATAAAATGCTTACCTGATTGAGTAACACGTTCACTTGTTTTTACAAATCCGCCATTACTGACTTTTTTTCTTCCAGTGTTGCAATAGTTTGATTTAAAATCTACCATAAATTAATAACAGTGCCCTCTAGTGAATACTTCTCAAAATAAAAAGTCAATAATTGTCTTTTTATTTTAAAAAAATCTAAAAATGGGCAATAACTGTCGGTGGGCAATAACACTCCTGTTTACCCTATATTATTGTTGTCAACAATACATAACTAATCATAATAATAAAGTCGTTCGAGAAGTGGAGAATTAAAATACCAACTAGATGTGTTCGATCAGAATACCAAAAGCGGTCAAGTAGCTAGGTACCTACGATTGCAGTTAATTGCTAATTGTTGCATAAAATGTATGAAACTTCACAATTTTCCTCGATAACGACGTCTCGAATTTTTGAGTGATTATAATTATGTATTGATGGTCGCACTATAAACATTTTGTACCGATATTATTACAATTTTCGTTGCGTCTGTATCTTTGGCTAGGTACCTAACAACCCTGAGAGTCAATAACTATTTGACGCTAACTGTATATGCCCTGAATAAACTGCTTGCGCAAAACAGGGAATTTGAATCTCACCTTGCCTAGCTTTGTATAGACACTTGTGTAAAATGTCTATTTTAATTTTACAAAGAATATTATGATCAATGCCTGTCCCTTGCTAAATGCAACAAAAATGTTTTACAAATGTACCCTATCTTCCTAACATTCATTTTGAAAATATGAAATATTCCTTCATAGTTTTTACATATAGTTAGTTTTGTATAGGCAGCTAGGAGGAGTGAAACCTGTGGGTAAGGAATTAAAAGTTAAACAACAATACATGTAAGAAAATTTCATGTGAATTTGTCTTTTATTTTAGACTAGTAACCCGTCCCTACATATATCCAATAAATTATGCGAGCGACTAATCACTTTCTCTTACGATTTAAGCCAAGTAGGTATACACTATGGGACTAATGTCCCATGACATGTATCTGCGGCATGTCCGGCTAAGCCGGCCACTGTCGCCTACATATACTGTGATAACGCGCAACTTATGTCCACAGTGACGTTGCCAGACACGTTGACCATAGTTCGGCAACGATGCGACTTTACTCGACGTCTCTGGTGACACATACCGCAGGGCTTAATTTGTCCCTTAGTGTATCCTTGGCTTTAACCGTGCAATAAGGTGTGTAGAACAAACAATTGAATTGTACAGTTTTAACTGGTGTGAAGGCTATAAGGATTTACGATTTAACTCTACTGTTAAAACTGCACAGTTAATTCGTTTCCTACCAAATCCTATAGCAGCTCAAATTGTGGTGGCCTATAATTATGTATCGTGTATCGTTATGTATCGTGTATAAAATGCTTTAATTATGTATCGTGTCTGACAGACACGGGTAGAACCGTGTGAGCACTGTTGTGTGTGGATGCAGTGCCGGATTAAGCCAGCGTGGGGCCTGTAGCAAATGCTGTCAAGGGGCCCTTGGTTTGCTATCGGTTCTCAATTTTTTTTTTATACTTTAAAGGTCGACGTTTGACTACCATCTCGCCTGATGGTAAGCGATAATGTGGCCGACGATGGAGCACGCCTACCTATGAGCAAACTGTTCACTCGGGACTTGAAGAAACCCAAGTTATATTTGACGGGAAACAGCCTCTGGCAAGGAATTCCATTCCTTAGCGGTTCGCATGAGGAAGCTTGACGCGAAACGCTTCGTGCGAATGGGTGGAATGTCCACCATATAAGAGTGGCGCCCCGCCGTTCGTCTGGTGGTACGGTGGTGAAATGGACTAGGGGGAATAAGTTTGTGCAATTCCCACGCACACTCACCGAAATGTATCCGATAGAAGACCGAAAGGCTTGCGATTTTGCGCCCGTGTTCGAGGCTTTGTAGCCGAGCCTCCACAAGGGAATCGTCATTGATGAGCTTCTTGGCACGCCTCTCGATGGATTCGAGGGCTTCTAACTGGTCTTTAGCCGAGCCATCCCAAAGATGGGAGCAGTACTCCATACACGACCGAACTTGTGTTTGGTAAAAAGTGAGCAACTGCTCCGGCGTGAAGTACCGTCTCACCCTCGACAGGACACCCAACCTTCTACCAGCCAGTTGCGCCTTTGTCTCGTTTTACGAGCCAAAATTGAGAGTGGGCGTCAGAATTACGCCGAGAAGCTCGAGACGGTCACCCATCGGAACGGACACACCTCGGAAAGTAGAAGTCAGTGGGAACCGACCCCGTTTAGCGGAAAACAGACATGCCTGTGTTTTGCTGGCATTGAACCTGATCAGATTGGCGTCACCCCAATCGGAGACCGCCTGCAAGGACAGGTTCAGACGATTTACCATAGATTCTCTCAGAGACTAGATTTGAGTTGCACTGGTTCGCGCATCGGACACATACCTCTCAACAACGGTGCTGTCATCTGCGTACCCAAAGATACCGGGCTGGAGCAGGTCATTAATGTGCAACAAAAAAGTGTTGCTGAGAGTTGAGCTGAGAGAGGCATTAATACCAAGTGGATTGGATGAGCAGCCATCAATGATCACTCGGATCGATCGATCACTCAGGAAGTTTAGGGTATTAAATAAAAAAAAAACAGTTATTAATAAACTTTTCTAGATTTATTATGGGCAAATTTAGCTATTACACTTTCAATATCGAAGCAGCATTTCGCGACCAGCGACGCGGCGTGTGCGCATGAATCACGGCATAGGGCGCGCTGGGCCCGCCCGCTGCAATTTCAATGGAAATTGATGATGATAAAAATGCGATAACTAAGCACCCTTACGCACTAGCATACGTACTTGCTCTCGCATACATACGTCACGTATGCGAGAGATAAGAGCTGATGGCTCTTTGAGGCGCGCGCGGGATGCAACGCGCCGTACGCTCGGGTCTGGTTCTGGTTGGGCCGCGAGCCACCCATGCTCGCCGTCCGCAGGCGCTTACGGTGGCCGGAGATTGTCCCGCAATCCCCGACGCCTGCAGTGTCCTTCGCGACGGCTGGGTTGTGAGGAGGCAGCGCTGCGCTGTCTCACTCGCCCCGCCTCCTCCTTAGCTAGCATAACTGCTTCGCAAAAGGAGGAGACGGTATCCCAGTGCCCCTCGCTCCGCATCATCACCGTCCGAACTAGGGCCGGATGCGAGAGGTCGCCGTCGCCGATCACGTCCCTGAGGGCGCAGCGGTGCTCAGCCCATACAGGGCATTCCCCTACTGTGTGTGGAAACCCTCAGGGCGGTCCTCGCAGTGATGACACCCGGGCGTTCCCGTATTATCGTCCACAGGTACCTCCCGAAGTTCCCATGTCCGGTGAGGACCTGCGTCAGGCGGTAGGTGAGGACACCGTAGCGTCTCTCAAGCCACTCCTCAAAGAGGGGATTAACCGCTGCAATGGCAGCGTGCCCAGCGGCTACCGGCTGCGGTTCGATTCCCACACGGAGCAAATCTTTGTGTGCTCCACAAATTGTTGTTCTGGGTCTGGGTTTAATCTGTATGCGAACTTGTATGTTTGTAAACGCACCCAAGACACAGGAGAAAATCCTAGTGTAGGGCAATGTCAAAAAAAAACAAATAAAAGATTTTACACCATTTACAATTCATTTTCTATTAACGCTTCCTCGTCGTAATTGGGCCAGTCCAGTATAACAGGTTGTATTAATGTTACCAAACATAGCATTACTTTGCAGAAGTAGGAGTCGGTCATGAGACTCATTATACCAGGTAGATAGTGATTTATAGTAGGTACATTAGTCACCCTTAAGTAACACTTCAGTGATCAGTTTTCACAGCCTTAATCTGCGAACTCTAACCCGCCAGCTACGAGGAGATTATGAAAAGCTACCTTAGTCCTTATGTACCTAGAGGAGGAATACAATCCAGCACAGGGGCTGTCACGGGTAGATGTTAAGACAAACGACTCAAGCTACTGAAATTTCTACGTTACGGATGTTACACATTGGCAGGCATTTGCATCTCTCAGCTCCGGGGGGATAAGAGATGCAATAGCTTTCATTTCCTTGAAATAGGTGTATCCCTATTGTACGCTTGGGAAAGTTTCAGCTGGCAAACTAGTGCAGTACCTAGGGTCAGTAAGCCCTCCTGTAAATAGCAAAAATCGATAACGCTGTTGGATGTAGTAGGCTGTAGGCTGTCCTGTGCAAGCAAGAGTTTATGTCGTCTATTCAATAATCGTTTCAATAATGTTTATGTTATTTTATTCCAAATAGTGTTTTATTTACAGTTTCCAGTGTTTTATTACTGGCTTTTTTAGTTTTCATTAGTAGTCTGGAATTGTGCCCGGTATATAGCAATAGTCTATCAAGTTGATAGACTTCAATGTTGATAATTGATAGTATCAACTCATTCGTCACTACGTCTATCTGCTACGAGCTATTCCCGGCGCGGTTACACGCACTAATCGGCTGCTTATAATTATAGCGTCATCACGCTGAAACATTTCTCATAGACTATACTCCTATACTCCCCCCAGATAAATGGACTGTACAAAACAAAAAGAATTATCATCAAGTCGACCCAGTACTTATGTAGCTCCAGATATTTTTCCGCGTTTAAATTAATCAAACACATAAAAAACATAGGTATCTATTCTAGCTAGTATCTATTCTTCTGCTTCTTACATACGAGGTCCAGCAACGTCATAAGTAACAAATGACAGCATATTCATCCCCATTATGTAGAAAGATGGTTAGCAGGAGGATGGTAAGCTTCTCTTGTAGTTTTCTGCCTTGCACAGCAAAATTGTAGAGTGATCTGTCGTCAGCGGTATTTCGGAATTGATCTTCAAACCTTCACGAAAAGAGCGTATTCCTTTTTAACAGACCGGCAACGCACCTGTAACTCCTCTGGTGTAGCGGGTGTCCATGGGCAGCGATGATCGCTTAGGGGGCGTCCATAAATTACGTGAGATGATTAAGGGGGGGAGGGGGTCGAGTCAAATCTCATCTAATCTCACGCTGGGGAGAGGGGGGGTCTCGATAAATATCACGCAATTTTTTTTTCTGATTGAAACAAAAAAAATATATACTATTTTGGTCCATTTAATTCAAATTGTATGTACATGCTTAAGATTTAATTTTAAGCGTCATCGTAATACGATTAAGATTAACACACACACACTAATTCATTCGAAAGAAAATAATTTCATTCATATTTCGACGTTATACATCTACTGAATGTCAAACCACCAGATTTATTTTATACCAAATAGCTCAATTTAGTTACGGTACAATGTAATGGTCATATGGACATGTTGGTTCCAATAGTCTCTCTTGAGACCGCGCATAATTCCCCATGGACTGAATTAGAGTAGATATTCTTTTTTTTTTAATCACAGTACTTAGCTAGATTTAAGTATTCTATTGTTAAATTTTTATTACATTTATTACTCTCAGCAATATTGATTACTAGTCTTAACTAGTCTTAAATAAAAGCACGAATCAAATTGTTTTTTTCTTTTCACAATAAAAATCCAACGCTAAACGCGTTGTAAGAAACCCACATTCCGAAAAATCTCACGTGAGATTGGGGGATGGGGGAGGGGGTTGAATAAAATCTCACGACATCTCACCAAGGGGGGAGGGAGGGTCAGAAAATTTAAAAAAATACCTCACGTAATTTATGGACGCCCCCTTACCATCAGGTGATCTATCTGCTCATTTGGCTCGTATTCCATAAAAACAGCGAGGTTTTTTCAAGATATTGTTGTGCAGAGTGACATCATCATTGGAGATCAATAACTTATTTTGAACAATTTTAGTATTTAGGACGCTATTACTCATAACATAGGTAGGGTAGATGAGGTGTAAGTACCTACACGTACATCCTATC